GGGGCCTCTTGGTCCGTCTTGGGCGGCACTTGGGCCGTCTTGGGGGCCCTCCTGGGCCGTTCCGGGGCCGTCTTGGGAGCCTCGTGGGCCGTCTTGGAGCGGTCTTGGGGGCCTCTTGGGCCGTCTTGGAGCGTCCGGAAGCCGAAAAAGCCAGAACGCAAAAAACATCGAAAAAACAATGAAAATCAACGATTTTGGCCTCTTGGGGCCCTCTTCGGAGGCCTCTTGGAAGGCCCTTGGGGCGTCTTGGAGGCCTCTTGGGCTGTCTTGGGGCCCTGTTGGGCGTCTTCGGGCGATCTTTGGCCGTCTCGGGGCCCTCTTGGACCGTCTTGGAGGCTTCTTGGGGACCTCTTGGCCCGTCCTGGGGTCCTGTAACAGGGCTCCGGCATCTCTGACCCCACCTTGCCGGGACCTTGCCGGGGTACTTTTCGTCCGGGGACCCCCAGGGGCCGCCCCGCGCGCGCGAACTAGAACTACTGTTAACCAGGCACCGGAGATCTTAGCACGCCCTGGCCCGTTGGGCCGGCGAATTTGACAGCAGAGGGACGCAGCCTCAGGAACGCATGAAGCACGACACAGTCGACGCTTTATTTGACGCGTCCCGGAAGCTGGCCCGGCGCGATCAACGGCGCCTGCGCCGCATGCGCGCGCCGCGCCCTCCCCCTCAGGCACACCTGGGCTCTCTGGAGTTCTTCGAGGCCGATATTGACTCTGCGTTCCGCAGGGCCCCCCTGCGCCCGGACCACAGGTGCCTCGCGTGGGTGATCTATTGCTTCTCCGGGATCGTCTGGGGTGCACAGCACGTCGCCCTCCCCTTCGGTGCAGGCGCGCTCCTCCCGGCCCCGCGACCCGGCCCCTGGCCGCCTCCCCCGCGCACCGCGGCGCAGTCAGCAGTGTCCACAATTGGGAAAGAATCGGGGAGGCCCTCGTGGCCATTTGCCGACGGCTCCTTCGGATTCCAGTCCTAAGATATGTCGACGACCTGTTCAGCGTCGACCGCCGGGGGGAGGCCCGCTCTCTCCCTCGACTCCCTTGCTTGCGCGCTTGTGCCCGCCCCCTCCCCTCGCGCGCGCGCAGGCCCACCGCGCCTTGACATGCGTAGTGCGGGTGATCAGATGCATATTGGGCTCGGCATCGGTGGCTGACCGGAAGACTCGGTCGGGATGCCCGCTCGTGATTCTGGGATTGTCGATCTCGGTTCGCCGCGACCCGTGCGCTTTGTTCGCGAGGGGGGGCGGTCGGTTCGGCGCGCGCGTTCCTGCAGGCAACGAACGCGGGTTTGACGGCCTGCCCGTCAGACGAGAAGGTCCAGAAATGGGTGAAACGCATTACTGCGGCGCTGCACGACGGATCTATGACAGCAGGCCCGCGCGCCCCGTGCGCCGCGCGGGCAGGGGCGACCTCGACGCACCCATGCCGCGCGATCGCGCAAACCCGCGGCGGTGCTGTTACGTTCGCCTGATTCAGCGAGCGCACACCGCGAGTCACCTCGCGAAGGTCGCTGCGCATTCCCTTTTCAGGAGCGAGATGAGGCAGCGCGACGCGGACGCGGCGGCCTCGTGGCTGCGGGGCCGCGGGGTCCGCTCGTGGTATCAGCTCGGGCAGCTTCCCGCGGTTTCGGTGCCGTCCCTGGGAATGTCAACGAACGCGCGCGCGACGATCCTCCGGGCTATCCAGCTGGCCATCGAGTGCCGCCTGGATGAAGCCCTGTGCACCTTCGGCACGGCGCCCGTACCGGAGCCCAGCAGCTCAACCAGTGATTCCGACACTGTCGACTATCGCCCGACGACGATGGGCGCGCCGGGCGCGTACGTCGATGACGACCCGATCGAAACGACGTCTCCCTAGGCGCGCCCACGCCGGCCAGCGCCGGTCGCTCCCGCTCGGGTCCGAGCAAGGCACGCATCCGCAAAAAGGGAGCGAACGCCGCCTGGCACAGCGCGTCAGAAGCCAGGCTGGCGCGCTCCCACCGCGTCGGGGCTCTCGAGAGGCGAGCAGGGCGCGAGGCGACCTCTCCCTCCTTCGGGGCTCCAGAGAGGCGCGCTGGGCGCGAGGCGACCTCTCTCTCCTCTCTCCCATCGGCGCGCCAGCATGAAGCTCGCCGACCAGGTTGCCGCGGCGGCCCCGTGGGCGTCACCCGCGGTCGTTGACGAAATCGCCAGGTTTCTGGTTTCTTGCGATGTCTTCGCAATTTCTTCCGTGCGGGCGGTAGGCGCCCCCGAGACATGGAATGGCCACGGGGCGCTCTCATCCGATGCGCAGCGCGCGATTGCACTGTTCGCGCGGGCGCGGCCGCCGCCGGGCCCGCCGCCCGCTGCGCCGGCGACGAGTGGCGAGGCGCAAGGGGCGCCCGTGCGAGCCGTGCTGTGTGTCTCTTCCTCCGCCGGCTCCTCTTCGTCCTCGTCCTCCTCCTCGTTGTCGTCCTCCTCGCCCCCCTCGCGGGCTGGCGACGGGCGCCCAGCCGGGCCAGCACTCGCGAGCCCACATCAGCGGGGCGTTCCCTCGCAGCGGCTGCAGCTGGCGCGAGCGACAACCGCATTGATGGCGTCGCCACCGGGCTCGCGAAAGGGTGGCCCGCGCGCCGCAATTCGTCGCTTGCCCGTGGCACCGTGCGACCCCGACGTCAGGAGGCGCGCCTTGCTCGGGGCCCGGTACGCCGCCGTCCTCAATAGTGCCCCGCGTTTCCTCGGAACGTGGACGGCCGGCCTGAGGTGCTGGTTTCGCTTCGCCAAATCACAGCTTGGCCGAGGGGGCAGCCCCTTGCCGCCAACTGCGGACGAGCTCTGCCTCTGGGCCCTGTGTTTTTTCGAACCCAGGCACCTTTGCCAACTATAAGGCTCAGGTCGACAAGGCATGCGTGCTTCTAGGTCTCGATCGCTCGGCGTTCCGCAGCCCAGCAGTAGCGCGCGCGAAGACCGCGATCAAGCACCGTGCGCCTCAGCCCGGCCCGCGACCTCCTCCGGTCACGCGGAAGGCGCTAGTCGCAATGCTGCCGCACGTGCCAGATCCTCGGGTGCGAGCGCTGTTCGTGGTCGCCTTTGCCCTAGCCCTAAGGCTGCCCTCGGAGGCGCTGCCTATCCGCATTGGCGATCCCGCGATGGCGGCCAATTTCCGTTTCAAGCAGGAGGAACTTGACCGCCCAGCGCCGACCATCGTGCTCTCCACCACGGGCGAAGTGGTCGTCCTCCACCTTTCGAGGCGCAAGCGCATGCCTAGGCCGAGCGTTGTCAGACGTTCGTGCTGGTGTCGCATATGCACCGCGACCTGCCCGGTGCACGCCCCGCGCGCCCTGCTGGGCGATATAGCGCCGGGTGCCTCCCCCTTCGCCCACTTGGCGAAGCCGACCAAGGCAGGGCGCGTTCTCCCCGTGCCGGCGGTTGCCCGCAACCTGCGCAGGTCGGCGCACGCGGCGGGGCTCCCCGATGCCGCCCGTATCGCCTCTAGGTGCCTAAGGCGCGGCCACGCGGAGACCCTCCGACAAGGTGGGGGGAGCCTCGCAACCATTTTGCGGGCCGGTAACTGGAGGTCCGGCGCCTTCAAGGCCTACCTAGACCAGCCTGCCTTGGAGGGCGCTGCGACGGGCGAGGGCATGGCCCTCTCCGCCAGCGTGGGCCCAGGGGCCGCGGGCCAAGCCCCCGCAAGCGCTGCCTCTCAGCCGTAATGCGCGCTTCGTCGCGCCTTTCGTACCGCGCGCGGCAAGAAATCCGCGACGATTGGCAGTGGGGGGCGCGCGCACGACGGCTGACGCCAGCCTGCTGTTGCATTGGGTTGTAGCAGCCAGGCGTCGCCGTCGAGGCGCGCGCCGCCGCCGCCTTGTTCTCGGCGGGAGCAGCGCCGCCCGACGCGCCGCCGCACCCATCGCAGGATGGTTGCTGCGACCGCGTGGCGGACGCCGGAGAGCGCCGCGCCCGCAGCGCTGTGGTGAGCGAACAGCCGAGGCACGAATGCTGTTCGCGGGCAGAGCAGCGAGGCTGCGCTGCGCGTGCGTCCGCGCGCCACGCAGCGAGCGAATGAGCTTGCGAGGGGCGCATCGCCGCGAGGCGAACAGCACGCGAAACGCGAGAAAGATGGAGCCGCGGCTTTGTCGGTTGCGCCGCGGCTAGGCCGCCGCGGAGGGGGCGAACGCGAGCGTTCACCGCGGCGCCGGCCAGCCTTGCCGCGCACAGGTGAAATCATAATTTGACCGCGGCAGGCGGGGCGCCATCTCTGGCCTGGGCGCGTTTCGCCCCGCCCACATCCGCCCGGGTTCTAGCAGCCAGGCGTCGCCGCCGAGGCGCGCGCCGCAACCGCCTTGTGCTCGGCGGGAGCAGCGCCGCCCGACGCGCCGCCGCACCCATCGCAGGATGGTTGCTGCGACCGCGTGGCGGACGCCGGAGAGCGCCGCGCCCGCAGCGCCGTGGCTAAGTGCACGCCGATTTCCGCCTGTGGGCGAAGGCGCCATCAAGATGGTGCCAGTGCCGAGTGGCCTGAGAGGTATGCTGTCTGACGCGTTGTTGGATGGTGCCCTTCCGCAAAGCGCCATCAGGCGATGGGCCCAGACTGTCTCATCGCGGCCCGAGGAACGCGAGCAGCCTGAGTGTCAGGCGCTAGCTTCGGCCATCGACAGTTTCGGCGCTGCCCACGTTCCAGTGTGGAGGGACTCGAATGAGAACCCCCGCTTGGGTGGCATCATGCTCAAGAAGGGGCTGAAGGTGGCCCTGGCTATTGCGAAGATCAATGCGGTTGCCTTCTGCAGCAACTTGAGGGGTCCCAGCGCGACTTCTTCCAGGCCTTGCAGGACGGCGTCGGTTATTTTTTCGGTTCGGTCGTGCCGATGGCGACGCGCCAGTGCTGGACAAGACAGACCGCCCTTGTCGCGAAGTGCTCCGCGAGGGCGTCTTGAGACTGGACGCCGTGGCAATGCTTGTCCAGAGGCGCCAGCTCCGAGAGAACTCCCACCGCATCGTCAGCATCTACATTTTTCTGATGCCAGTGACTGCTTGGGTTACGAAGTGCAGGGCATGGTCGTTGACTTTACCTGCGACGACGGATTGTTCGAGCGCCTCGCTCTTCCTGGATGCTCGCTGGCGCACGGCTTCATGGGCCGGCTAGACCAGGTATTGTTTTTTGTCCTGTGGTATGTGTTCTTGATAAGCGGCCCCGAAGGAGATAGGGTTGGTTGCTTCCTGGGCAGGGTCAGGTCAACCACCGCTGACATGGGGTCCGAGCTGCACCTGGTCGACTGCGTTGAGCTGTCTCGCGCCTGGTTCGAGCGCATGCGCGGGAATGCGTTGGCGGCGTCGGGCTCGCTGATTAACAGGGGCGCCAGGCTTCTGCCGCCCGCCACTCGCATCTCAGGTTGGAACCACAGTTGCAGCACCACGGTCAAGCGAGTCGTGCTTCTTGCGCCGAAGTGGCCAGAGTGGAGCGCCAAGTTGAGGGACGTATGCAGGTGTTTCAGGAGCGCCTCGTACCGCCAGCGCATCTGGAGGTCCTTCGAGGCGCCGCACCCAGGTTGCGGCGCGGGCGGGGGGGGGGGGCGAGTTTGGCGTCGACATTCGTCCAGCCCCCATCCTCAGTTGACCCCCCATTCGGGCACACGTCTGGCCATGAACTGATTGGGCGGGGGGTCGGTTGAGAGGGGGGAAGGGGTGGGGCTCGGAAGGGGGGGGGCAGGTTGCCACCCGTTCCCGTCATGAGCCATGTCGGTTGCCCCCCCCCCTCCGCCCTCGCCCCCGCGAGCCTCGGTGCCCCGTGGCCGCAGCGAGCCGCAGTGATGCGCCGACCCCTGCGGCGCCGACCCAGGATGCAAGTTTTGCATCCTCGGTTGGCGCTGTAAGCGTTAGTGTGGCGCGTGCTTGCGTCGGGGGTTCGATTAGTGAATTGTGTCGCCTCGGCGTTTCGCTCGCGCCGCGGGTCTGCGTCTCGCGGGGTGGGGTGGGGTGGGGGTGGGGGGGTGGTGTGGGTGTGTGTGGTGTGTTGTGTGTGTTGTGTGTGTGTGTGTGTGTGTGTGTGTGTGTGTGTGTGTGTGTGTGTGTGTGTGTGTGGTGTGTGTGTGTGTGTGTGTGTGTGTGTGTGTGTGTGTGTGTGTGTGTGTGTGTGTGTGTGTGTGTGTGTGTGTGTGTGTGTGTGTGTGTGTGGGTGGGGGGGGGGGGGGGGGGGGGGGGGGTGTGTGGGTGTGGGTGTGGGTGGGTGTGGGTGTGGGTGTGGGTGTGGGTGTGGGTGTGGGTGTGGGTGTGGGTGTGGGTGTGGGTGTGGTTGTGGGTGTGGGTGTGGGTGTGGGTGTGGGTGTGGGTGTGGGCGTGGGTGGGTGGGTGGAGTGGTGGTGGTGGTGTGGGGGGTCCGACCGCTTCCGCCAGGGTCGCGAGCTTGAGTTTCGGAGGTTGCTGAAGAGCTTCGGTGCGTCGTTGGCGAAGTGGAGATTCGAGGCGTTGGGCGCGGTGGAGGCGCAGCTTCTGCCGCTGAGGGACTTTTGCGAACGCCATTTGGCATCGGACATATTTCGGCATTGCAACGACACCGAAGGCGCCCGTGGCACGGTTCGCATGGCGGCCTCGGGCCATTTCGGCACACCCTTCACAAGGACCGTGGCCCCATAGGGAGCTCCACCGAAGGCGCCAGTGGCAGGGTTTGAATGGCGGCGTCGGGATATTTCAGCACACCCCTCACGAGGATCGTGGCGCTCCACTGAAGGCGCCAGTGGCAGGGTTTGAATGGCGGCCCCGGGCCATTTCGGCACACCCCTCACGAGGATCGCAGCCACATAGGAGCTCCACCGAAGGCGCCAGTGGCAGGGTTCGCATTGCGGCATCGAGCCATTTCCGCACACACACGCACACCTCACGAGGATCGTGGCCCCATAGGAACACCACCGAAGGCCCCAGTGGCAGGGTTCGCATGGTGGCCTCGGGCCGTTTCGGCACACCCCTCACGAGGGTCGCTGCCACATTGGAGCTCCGCCGAAGGCGCCAGTGGCAGGGTTCGCATGGCGGCTTCGGGGCGTTTCGGCACACCCTTCACCGCGAGGATCGTGGCCCCATAGGGAGCTCCACCGAAGGCCCCGGTGGCGGGGTTCGCATGGCGGCCTCGGGGCATTTCGGCACACCCCTCACGAGGATCGTGGCTCCGTAGGAATTCCACCGAAGGCGCCAGTGGCAGGGTTCGCATGGCGGTCTCGGGCCATTTCGGCTCACCTTTTTCATGAGGATCGTGACGCCATAGTTGTGCTGCTTCAGCAACCGCGCCTGGGCGTCGTGTTCCGCCTTGTCGACGTGCAACGCCACCTTCTCCCTTATGGCTCTCAGAGCCCTCTCCTGCTTCTGCTTCTCGGTCAGAGGGGCGCCGTCCTCGTCGTCGTCAGCGCCCGCGAAGACGGCCGCGGACGCGTCCCTGGGCATGTCGGCCTCCGTCGGCAAGCCGTGACCACAGAGGGAGCGCGGGCAAAGATGGTATTCACACTCGCGGTATTCACAGCTGCATATGGTTGGGTTTTTCGCCCGGCGGATTTGGAACATTTTCGATATATCGATCATATATGATATACTTTCATATATATATACATATATATACAAGGCTGCATTGGCGCTGCGCGCCACGCGCCTTGGTCTTCCGAGTTTCGCACGCAAGCGGGGTGCGTGCGTGCGTACATGCGCGCATGCATGTATACACGCGCGCGCATGCACGTATGCAAATATATCCATGTGTATACCACACATGTATACTGTTGTATATGTGTAAGCACATTACATAGAAGCATCTACATATAGCGGCGCACCGGGTCCGGGCGCCCAGGGCCGGCGCCGCTACTACAAATGTGGGCTCCGGGGCCCTCGGGGAGCCCCGGGGCCTCACAGAAGACCGCCAGAAGACACCCCAAGCGACCCCCAATAGGGCCCCAAAGAGAGCCCCAAGGGGCCAGAATAGCCCCATTCTTTTCGTAAAACGTATATTTTCAACATATTGTTTGTTTTCGCTGTCGGTCCGGCCGAGGACGCCCCCCCAGAGGGCCCCCATTCAGCCCCAGAGAGCTCCAGGACGGCCCACGAAGGGCCCAAGACTGCTGCAAATGTGAGCCCCGGGGCCCTCGGGGAGCCCCGGGGCCTCACAGAAGACCGCCAGAAGGCGCTAAGGAGGCCCTAAGAGGCTCCAGAACAGACCCGGGGGACGAGGCCGCCTGGACGGGCCAAGGGACCACGGGGGGCATGGCGTGTCACGGCCTCCGGGAGCGCTCACAGACGGCCCAAGGCAGTCCCGAAACGTGCTGAAAAGGGCTCCAAGAAGGCTCCAAGACGGTCCAATGTAGCCCAGAGAGTCACCGAACCATCGCCCCAAGACGCCCAAGATGGCCCCAAGGCGCTCCGTAACCATTTTGGCTCAAGACATGGTGCTCCAGGATATAAGTGCGGATGGGGATATTGGAACGAGTGCACAAGGGGGTATTGTCGTAGTTATACTGACCATATCTGTGTCCCGTGCTAGCTCAATTGTCCTCTTCTGAATCCCGCTCGGTTTAACGTCCTGCCCGCTCGTATGATAACCTGCGCGCTCATTTTAAAGTCGCGTTCGCTGGGTCTGTCCGCCAGGCTCGACCCCAGCGAAGCGAGATTGGCAACGCGAGATGGGGGAAGCGAACCGCAAGGGCAACAACAAAACAGATGGCCCCAAGGCGTCGCAGGAAGGCGCCAAGACGCTTCAAGGTGCCTCCCACAGGCCTATCAAAATGCCCCCAAGAGGGCAACAAATTCCAATTCCTTTGGGAACGTACATTTTTAGCAGAAACACCTTTTCGCTTTTCCGACGCTCCAAACAGTCCAAGAAGCCCCGAAGACCGCCTTAACGCAGCCCATGAAGGCCCAACAGACCCCAAGACAACCCAAGAGGGATCCAAGACGGCCCAAGAGACACCCAAGATGGCCCAAGAGGGCCCCAAGACGGCTTTAAGAAGGGGCCCAGACGGGGGATCCGAACGGACTTTCTGGGCCCTCGGCCCCGAGAGGCCCCCAGGAGGCCTCAAGAGGCGCCCGGGAGGCCCCCAAGACGCCGCCAGAGGCCCCCAAGGGGCCCCCAAGAGGCTCCCGAGGGCCCCCGAAAAGCCCCCCAAACGGCCCATTTTGGCTCAAGAGTGTTGGGCAGGGTGCTTGTCCGCACGAGCTGGATGCCAAACCAATCTTCCCAATGCTCGTCTCAAACTTGTCTGGCAATGTCCACCAAGCGGAGCGTGTATGCGCTGTGGCTTGCGCCGCCATGATACTGGGGCGCTTGGTTCGACAGTTGTGGACCGGGGGCGCGCCGCGGACATGGTTTCGCGACGGCTATGCTCGATTGCTCGCGTTTTCTACACTCGTCCGGGACGGTCGTCTTTGGGAGACTTGGCTCTCAGTACTCCGTTCACAAGCGCAAGCAGTCCATCAGGCTTGCCATAGCACGCAGAAGCTACCAGTTCTTCCTTGTCACCGCCCTCGGGATGCTGGTTTTCCCGATCTTCGCCTCGCCCGAGCCGAAGTTCGTTCCCCCCAGTGATAACCGCCCACATATTCCTCCGAGGCGCTTGCATAACTCTTTCTTCTGGGTGGTCGTTGTGGCAATCAATGTGGTTCCTAGCTTTCTCACATGCGATGACGCTGTCACCGCTGATGCAGTTCTCTGGGGCAATTGGCCCCTTGAAGGTTCAGCTATTCCATGGTTGCCTAATGTACTGCATGGTTGACCTGAACCTTCCAGCGAATTTGTTTTGGACGACGATTTGCTATCTTTCCGCTTCGACCACAGTGCTTGTTGGCGACTCCCCACCCGTCCCAACCGGCCCAATGCCTGGTGGCAAAAAGATCGGCATGTGTTACCCCGACAAGAACATAATCGATGACGTGTTGTACGATTGGATTTCTGCCGTTATACTTTTGGTAATCATCCACTTCGTGTTCTCCCTTGTGGTCAATTCCCTTTTAGAGGATCAAGCAGTCCGGAGCGAATTGCGCGCCGCAAGGTCGACCTTAGCAGGTGTTTGTGACGCCGTGGTCAAGCTCGATTCCAATCTGATGCTCGAGGGGCCTTCCGAACAACTCGCGGCTTTGCTAATGCATAGCCAGCCTCGGTCTTTGGTGGGAGTGAGTGTATCGTCCTTTCTTGCCACAGAGGCCGATCGCGAGAAATTTACCAAAGAAGTAAGCTCCAATTCCGTGCATGATGATATCTGCACGGCTTTTCAGGTCAAATTGCGGGACAATCTTGGTATCTATGTGTCGGTGGAAGTCTTCAGCGTGCGTTTCAGTAGTAGTGATGAAAATGAGTCGTACCTAGTCGGCTTTCGGGAATATGCGGACCTGGCTCCATCAAGGAGGACGCAGCCGATTGTGACGACAATGCCTAGTTCTGAAATGACGGTGGATGTTCAGAGCAGGTTGCAGTCGTACGAGACTGAACACGATGATGTTGGCACGAAATCTGAAGCGGAGTCTTCCGCATCGACTTCTATTCCCGAGGTTGCTGTTTGGGTCGACGGTAT